CAATATAATTTACTTTCTACAGTGGCTGGCACCTTTTTCTCAGAAAATTATCACATATTCGTAGATAGAATTCGTCGATTCCAAGAAGTATCGGTATCGCACTTATTTGCACACACTGTATACTCAGTATTAACGTTTACATTTATATCAAAGCTAGATAAACTAGATGGCGGCAATATAAAAGAGAAACAGGCATCAAAACTACTAATAGAGAAATAGCGTGAAAAATTTTATTTTATTGGAATTTCCGTTTCGATAACGTTTGATGAAAGCTGTAACTTACGATACTGTAATATTTAATGTGAGATATATCGAAAAATCTATTGTAACCGAAAAACATAAATTTAGTTTTGTTGATACCGATAATGATAGTAACACTAAATTGCATATGGAACACTTCTTGGTATGTCTGAAATCATAATAGCGTGCAAATTGTTAGTCACAAATGTACAATTACGTATACTTTCAAACAATTATAAAGTGTAAACCAACCGTCAATGCAACAAACAATGCAGAAAATAACTGAATAAACAAACGTCTATCGAAGTATATTTTCGAATGAAGAATACGAAACATGAATAAAAAATGAACAACAAAATTTATTGAAAATTCACAACAGTATCTATTAATTTATCATTGGATAAAAAGGAATCAGATTGATTAAGTGAAACTGATAATCGAAACCATTTTTATGAAATTGCTAAGGATACATTAAACGGAGATTTAATTTCGTAGAAAAATATTTCAGTGGCACTTAATCTATGTTGACAATATTTGTTTTACATTTCGGACTTTCTCAGCAGTGTTTGTGAAGATGTATGATGTTCCTTCTTCTTATCGAAGAATCACAATTTTTACATGAATGTAACGTGTTAGATATTTTATCTGTTTAACATTATGTTAAATGATGAGGACAGTCAATGACTGAGTAGCTCCCAATACATCCCCGGTCCCCTAACTCATTAACTATTCGTATCATACGTCAAGCCGTGGATCAAATCCTTCGAAATTCACACGGACAGGAAACTGTCGAATAATAGATAATAATTTCCGCTATATGCGCACGACCTCATTGTTAAACAATGGCTACGTGTGTTTCATGGTCAGAATTACCAAAGGACAGAGGTCCTCTAGCCATTTGCGCGTGTTTAGAATAAGGATGAAACAAATTAACAATAACCTCGTCGAAAAATTATTTGTAAGTGTCGCTCATTAATAGATTACGGATGTTTATGCAAAAATCGTCTTTACGGATTAATTCAAGGGAACTGAAATTCAAGGAACATTTGTTTACTACACTCCAGCTCATAAGTTCTAGGACACTTAGCGAATATGCAAAAAATGTTACAAGGTATTCCGAAATTATTGAAAGTCGGAAATAAATATTCTTTAGAGGACAGTAAGCCTCGACGGTGAACGTGTACGCTAAATATTACGAAGCAGCAAAAGTGGCCTAAAATATATAATTTTTACAAAATGTAACATTTTCTTTATACAGCCTAGGTGTCCCAATACTTATGAGTAGACTGAGAAAGTTTATCTGAAAATTAAAATGAAGTAGAATTTTGAATTCTGTACTAGAGGCTTTACTATGTTAATAATAACACGTAAATAGTATTAAACTTTGTTGATACGTTTATTTTATTGCATTTGTCAGGTTAAGAGATACTATCTGTAAATGTATAAACATCCGCAGTCTACTTACGAGCGGTAGCGTGTATAAAAGTATCCGTAAAAGTATATAATAATTCACAAAATCATTATACATTTTAAAAGCGTTTCATGCTATTTTTCATTCGTTGCCATTTGACTACTTCTTCGCTTTTATCACAATTATGTGCAATAATTTACATTGCAAAGTGATTACACATAAAATTCCATTTTTCTTACCTTTTATCAGTAAACCCTCTTGAAATATAATATCCGAAAGAAACTAAGACTTTGTAAGGTTTTATTGCATTGCTAACGATGCTCAACACTTGGTTTCTGAGCGAATGAAATAAACTCTTTTACCGATAAGCATTTAAATGCATAACAAAATTTTATAAAAAGACGAAAATAAACAATTTTCCTCTCCCTTGAAATATGGAGAAAATGTATAATATAATAACAGTCGATACAGGAATTTTGCCAATTTTTTCAATATTCTAAACTCTAGGCAAATAATCGTATGTGATTTTGAGGATAAAGTGCAATTAAGAAATTCCCTTCATATGTCTATTACCAAGAACGTTTATTCCCAAAGCATTATATTGTTTCCACAATCTCCTATAAAATAAACGCGAGGATCGTAAATATGTAGTGGAAAAAAAAAGTAGTCAATTCAGCTGCATCGAGGATATTCGCGAAATCTTCGATTCTTCCGTGAACAGAGTCGTGGGTACTGTTCCGCAAATACTGCACTCTTCCCGCTTGCATGGGAAACTTTGCAAGAAAGTTCCTTCTGTCGCGATTCGTAAACAGAACTACGATATTCCTATTTTGTTCTCTGCATCTGGTGTTTTCTGGTTGCTCGCCACACCTCGAGGTAATCTGAATTATTCATGAAAAAAAAAAAGATTCGCGCGCCTTATGAATGCAGGTTGTTTAGGAACGATGATTTAACGCCGGATGCTTGTGCATCGATGATTGTACATAGAACGCTATCTCAATGTAACAATTGGTTTTCAGCTGACCGTTAATTTCCATTCCCTTGGAAGTTTAAAAAAATTATTACATGTGGCCGCCATAATTGACGTTTTACAAAACTATCTTAGATAGTCTGAGAATGTTGTAGGAGGTTCTTAGAAGTGATAAATATTTCTTTTTGCACATAATTGTTTTTTAATAGTCTTCCTTTTATGAAGAAAATTGTACCGTTTTTCCTAGGGCTTTACGTTCTCTCTGTAGTTTCTTTTAGAGAAAACGTTTACTTCAAGTGTTATTCCCATTGGAGATACATATAATACATTAAATAGTAGTGCGCTACACAGTGCGCTATACTTCTACTGTTACAGATAAGAACATGAAAAATCGTACAGTAACATTCATATTATAAGAAGGGTCCAGAGAAATATTCGTACTTCACCTTTCACATTTTAATAAATATCCAGCTTCATGTATCAAAAGTCTCATTTCTGATAAAGTCTTTTAATACACTGCACTTTTTTTCTAATAATTTATTAAACAAACTACAGGAAAATTTATCATAGAAATGGTTTTACATTAATATAATATTATATACAATAATCCTTCAAGATAATTTGAACAATAAGAAACTTAACTCAATTTCATCAAGAGTTCTGAAGTTAATTAAATGCGAATATGAAACACCGTCTGCATTGCCTGTTGATCTTATGCAACAAACGATAGTCTTGTTAATTAGGAAATACGAGTAGTCAAATTTTAATGAAACCTTCCTTAACTTATTGCGTTTCTTTGAGCTACAAACTATCAATCAATATTAAACGAGGTAAACTCGAAATGTTAAACATAAAAGTCCCTGTTACACCTCTATACAGGGTGATAAGGTAAACAGTCCAAGACTTTTGGAGCTTATACCTAGTACTCCCTGGGAGGAGTAAAAAATGTCTAGTCAAAATAGGTCCTAAAATGATTCCTTTTAAAGAGAAATACGAAAGTTTTATAAAAGAACCTCATGTACGATATCGAACACTCGTAAATATAAAAGATAATTATACACCGAAAGGATTGATTGTAGTACCTAAAGTCTTAGACCTCTAATTTCTTAGACCCCTAAAGTCACATTGTATACCAATGATTATAAAAATGGCCTACGCCATATACATTTCATTACCACAAGTTTCAATGTTCACATTCTGAACATTAATAAACAAACAGCTGTGGACCCCACTATTCAGCCTAATTTCCAATCTTTTCCCAACAATGGTTCCACAGTATTACAACATACATCAACATACCATAATATAAACGGCAAATTCAATTCTTCTACTGACCCCGACCATATTCACAATTATCACCATATATTACCGAATCCTTCGCAAACTCCACGATGAAATAAAAAATTAGGGCAACTCATCGAACACGTTATCACGCAATCCTCCAACGGTAACGTCCAATGCAAACCAGCTTCCTACCAATATCTTATCGAGCCCTCGATCACACACGTTCGCCAAACCAAACACCTCGACAAAACAAACTCTCGCATACACTCGCATCCTCTGAACGACGTCCTCGCAACATGGTCATCTCTATTATCGTGCAAGCTCGCGGTCGTCTGTCCACCGTCTGTGCCCGTGCTCCCTATTCTCCGTCCCTCGGTAGTTCCACAGACTCGAAACCTAACCGAAGACTACGGCCTGCCAGGCTAGAATTATCATCGAGGCTTCGGAATGATTACGGATACGCTTCACGCGCGTCGCGCGAGAGGAATAGACATACAAAAACAATGCCTGGGCAAAAAGCCTTTCGCCTTCGCTGGGGCGATAAGCGTCGGTTAATCGGCAGCCAATCAGGCCGGGGGAGTGTACCGTTGACGGACCAATGAGGGACGAGCCGTTATCAAGCCGGCACAACTCATATAACTGATCGCGAGTCCTGTCAGCCGTGCAGAGGGTCAGCAACCAGCCTGAGACGATTCTCTTTACGCCTTTTCTCTCTCTCTCTCTCTCTTCCTATCTCTCTCTTTTCCCAATCCGTCTGCTCACATCGTTGCGTCTCACTGCTCTCTATCGCTGATTCCGTCCGTGAAGGAGGACCGTTGACGGATGGTTGTGTTAAAGCGCGACCAGCAGCCGAACTCTCGGAAGGCCAAACTCGCGATCGTACCGATTCGTAAGTGGCGCGCCGCCGCGTTCTCGTATCAGTCGGTCGGCTGATCGTCGCGCTATTCAGCTGTGCAGCGAGCCGAAGGAGGCCGCCTTGAAGGACGGGCCAGGCGAAGTTCACCTATAGCCCCCATACCTTAAGTTCGTCGACGTCTTCGCCCCACTCCCCAGCGTACCGGGTCAACGGTGACCCGCAGGCAGCCAGGAAGCACGATGCCGGATGGAGGTTTGATCGTTCTTTTGGCCGCAATCGCCTTGACCCATGCCGCCTCGATCGGCGGACGCATCAACTCCAAGGCCAGGGACTGCGATAGGTGAGTGAGTGAAAGGGAAACGCTGGAGAAGGTGGCACCTCGAATCGGCGGCGGTCCATTCGCTCGTTCATACGTTTTTGTCCTCGGTGAAACGAGGCTTCGCGGCTCCTTTTGAACGCACGTGGCTCGGATACTTTGATCTTTTCGTAAAGGTATCATTTCATTCCTGGTTTCTCTTTTTCTTCTTCATTTCCTCGTTGTTCGAGCTGGGGGCAGGGGACCGATCGGGTATAGGTTCAATCATCGCGGTTGGTACTTCGTGTGTGTACAGGGTTGTCGGAGCATGGAGGGTGTTGAGGGTAAGAGGAGATATGGGATAAGTTCGGTTAGTTTTCGGTCATTATTGTTGAGTTTATTTATCATGATAATTCGAACGTAAGTTTTTTTATAACTTCAATGGTGATTTATGATTCTACGGTTTAAACTACGATTTTAACTTTCATAAACTATCGAGTTCCCAAAATGTTGAATTATTTTATGTTTATTATACGTCTGTGGTGTCATCTTTTTTTATTTTTTAAGTGTAAGAAAAATATGTACTTTAACGCGATATAAGAAAACGCTTGGCAAGAAGAGTTCATTCTATATTTGCTCGGCGAAAGGAAATGTTTCGAAGTAATTAAAACGATAACTTCGTTGGAATAATATTATCGGGCTGTACTGATGTATAGCCTTAATTGAATATGTCTGTTCAAACAAATTAAAAGCAGATTCTTTCATAATGTTTCTCATTGTTCTCCAATACTCTGCGCCATTTTATCGGCGTGGAGACTAGATGACATATTGAAGTTAACCTATATGACCACCTTCTTAAGAGAATGGTGCATTACTGATTGCTGCACTTAAGAGAAGCATGTAGCTACCACGTTTTAAAATTGTTTCGTATCTACGTAATTTGTAGTAGCAAAAAGTACAAGTAAATTAAGAAAATGTAATTCGAAATATACCTTCCAAAGATGACACGTTTCGAATTCGTTTTTAGAAACTGATACTTACTTGGTTATCGTGTAAGAAGTTTCGACATTGAAGAACTAAAATTTAGATTAATTATTCACAGCTTACTCGTAAAAGTATAAACCGTATAATATGCTATACAAGAGTATAAAGAGAACAGTTCAAAAAGAATATTAATTCTGTTAGCTTTCGAAACTATAAATGGCTCAGAATCTATTTATAATTAATTGAACAATTGAATAGTTGTATAATTAACTGTACGTACATAAATTCACGTCGTAACAAATATTTGCGGCTCGTGAAGTATGAATGAAATGTAGTTAGAAAATTATAACTTGCGATAAACGTACGTAAAACATGCTTCCATCGTCCAAGGTATTTAGAAAGGCTTGGTGCTCAATAAAAAGTAGCAACAACAAGATTTCACGTGGTTTTGTTGTACAGACATTACAAGTTCTGTTCATAGAAAAGTTTCCATTTAAAGATGTATTAATAACTAGCTCTGTATTTCTCCCCATTCCGCGCGTGATACGTAACAATAATCAGAATGCTGGGATGCCAGTGCCTCGTAAATATAACGACAATACTTAAGAACACATTTAACATTATAATATGTTTACATCAGCCTACACTATCGATAGTTTCTGTTTTTATGGCATTTTCCTTTCACTTTATTCCAGTAAAATCGCTTCGACTATTTCAGCGTCTAGGATACATTGATTGCTATTAGACAGATATGATGATCAAATGCCATTCACACCGTTCATTAATTAACAACAATCTGTTACAAGTACTTACAGCCACTTTTAGTACGCATAAATATTAAAATCAGCAATTCTACGCTTTATATCTGTTTAGTTATATTGATTTCCATTAAAAGAGATCGAAAGCGACATCTCACAGAAATTGTGTGAAATTTTCCAAAGAACTTATTTTCTGATCGTACTCTATCGATTACGATTGATAAGATCTTAATACAGTGCAGTTAATTTCGTCGGCGCGGATAAAATAAATGTTTAAACGATTTTGCGCTGTTTCGTGTTCAGCTGGAGTTTATCAGCGACACTAGTGTCTACGACGCGGAAATCACCGAAACCTCAGATAAACTCAGGCCCGCGTAACTTTGATATTCAATGACTTGCTGATAATGAAAATAAAAAAATGCAGTATCACCGAAGTACGGTCGCTTACATTGATGTAAAAACTACTGAACCATGTGACAGCTCTTCCAGTGATTTGTAGTGGAAACGCAGTCATTCGGTTTCAGTATTTACGCAGTCTTTTTGCCCGATAAAAACCGCTTTAATTCACATATAAATAACGTATTTCGTGATGCAGACGAATGTTCCACCAATTACAATTGTAACGATTGTATGAACTTTACGCTGAAAGCATTGAGAGCGAGGTATATCCATTTGTAATTTAATTAACATTGGCTTCAGAGCCCTTCAACATTGATGGCGAGTTATAGCCATTTATAATTTAACTGATATTGGCTTCAAAGCCCTTGGAACTTAATACATATGCAGTAAGGGCCAAACATTTTCAAATATATTTTCTATATTATTAATTACATTGATATCTATGTATATATGAGTCTATATAAACATTGATTTTGAATATACAAAAACAAAAAGTAATCACAGTAACAATATCTTTGTCTACTGTACAAAGAATTTTGTTTCTCATTATATACAATTATATATGTTACAGCAAAAGCATTAATTCAGTAAATGTATACATTTCCTAATCAATGTGTACACTTACTAATCTGATTATGTAGGAGGTAAATTAGGTGGAACACAAGGAACGAAATTTATACTATTACTAGTAAATGCATACATTTATATTTATGATTTAGTAAAACCATGCGCAATAGTGCAAAAATACATTAATTTCAATAGACACTGTTGCTAGCATTTGTTCATATTAATCATATAACTTATAAATTTTGGCTTAACAGGGACGCGTCTTTACAGTTTACACGAGTAATTAATTTCACGGGTAAAAATCATTTAGGTTATATTCTTAAAATGAATAAAAATAGTGTAAATATTTATTTTGCATTATAATTGTTTCTTTCTACGTATATTATATAAAAATATAACCTAATCAAACCAATGTTCTTATGTATATTTATTAAATAAGAACAACCAGTTTTCTTAAAAAAGACCCTTAAATTATCAAATAAAGTGTTAAGTTTTTAGTTTTCATTTTTGTTCTTCAAATATACCTATACTTTAGAAAATTATACCTTCGACATTATGGTTTTATTAACGTGCTATCAGCAATGTATGCATTACATATCTAGTAAATGAATACATTTACTAGAAATGGTATACATTCTTATATTCGGTTCATACTTGTACTAAAATCGTACATAAATGCAAACATTGACTATGTAGTAAGTGTATACATTTACTAAACGTCACGCTTTTACTGTGACATGTACATAAAGAGTAACGATAATAAAAAATAAAAATTTTCTTAATAAATGTATGTTAAATGTAATAATGAGTAATCCATTATTTTTTAACAAAAATTCTGTGTCTATTGTAAACCAATTGCAACGAATGTTATTGTAATAATATTTATCATTAATGTACAATACAATCATTTGCACCATTTTTGACTAAGGAGATATTAAGATTTATTTAAGCGAATTGAAGTGGCTACACGGCTATTGTCTTTAGTGTTTTAAATTAAATTTTGCCATGCACTCGAAAATCTTTAAACCTTTATTCTTCATTTTATCAAAAACAAAGACCTTAGAATTTAGCCGTGTACAATTTATACTTTAACTGAGGAAAGTATAAACCAAATCTGAAACATCACTTTGGGGTACTCTTCTTGTTAGTAAAAAAATGACGCATTGCTCATCAGTTCACGAAATCTATTGTATTTCGTATATTCAGGAGATCCTTCACCAACGTGTGCTATACAGGGTGGACCAAAATTCGTGTTACAAATGAGGTCAGGGAAATGATACGACTCAAAATAAGACGAAAATCAAGAATAACGAAATTCAGTTTCAGATTTCGTTTCCGAGATAATCGAATTTTAAAATCTACTGTATAGGCGTGCAAATTGAATAGGACTTGGCTAGCCCATCTGTTCATTACATTCCGTTTCTACTTACTACCATGATGAATATACGTGTTTCAAATTATTCAATTTTCTTAAATTGAATAATTTTAAATCAATTTACTTAATTCAATTTTCTCGAAAACGAAGCCTCTAACGCAATTTCGTTGTTCCTTATTTTCGTCTTAATTTGACCCGTACTATCTCCCAGGCCTTGTTTGTATTACGAATTTTGACCCACTCGGTATAAGTTCAATTAGTCGCGTCTCTACGGAAAAGTATAATTTTCCACAGTCCGCTGGCAATTCTATTGTTCGATGGTAACAGTAAGCTCCTTGGTTTGTCATAAATTCTTTCATCCGGCAGCGGCTATCATCTCGTCGTCGCAATCTATGAAAAAGTTTGGTAGATTCCTCGTTTCCTGCTACGCGTTTATTTACAACCGGTTGCGTACCACGCCGAGGCAAGGCTAGTTAGTTGCGGCAATTGTAAGCTGCCACGCGGTTAGTTCTTTTATGCAATCGTTTCGCGCATCCGCACCTATCATTATATTCCCTTTTTTCTCTCCCGCATGCATAAAACAGAACGGGAATCCGGGCAAAAAGATTCCGCGAGCAAGACGGAATCGCTCAATGATAATGAGATCGATAAGGTTGCGATTCTTCACATACTCGCCGTTCTCCGACCGAAGATTTACGGAAAACCGTGACCATGCGCACAGAACGGAATTGTCGCGGTAAAATCTACGCAAATAAAATTGTATTTGGTTTAATTAAGCGACACTGCCGGTTAAGTGGATCATTGAAGGGATCTTTTATGATGGAAGTTTACTTAAGGGGTCTTACCTCTGTGAACCCCTGAACGATTCTCATCCTTGGGAATTCTTTTTTTCAGTGAACGTAATGTTCAACGTAAATAATGGGTTGTCTATTTATTAATAGACGTATTGAAAGTATAAAAGA